AAAGCCGCTGGACCCCCCCAGCAGACCAGGGAGACCGGGAGAAGCTTTTCTCGCCCCGGAGGACACGGGTGGCGACCTGCCGCCCGTGAGCTCCGGGGCGAGAAAAGCCCCGTTCGTAAGTGCGGATCCGACATAAGTCGGATCCGCGTAAGTTGGGGACTGCCTGTACTGATTCATTTAATGTTATTATTACTACTCATATTTTATCATCTTTATAGACAGTTTTCATGCTATTAAATGGCACAAAATGGTTGATGATGCTGTATGTGAAATCTTTCTTATTATAAGGGCACCATTTATAGTGCTTATTTCTCAATAATCATTTACTTTGCTCTAACAACATAAATTAGAAGTGATTCTTGTAAAAGTTCTTAGTATTACAAAACCACCTACATATACAGACCTTTACTTATAGAATGAATTTTGAAGTGTGTGGTAAATGCTAGGAGATTTGTAGTGGAATTTAAAATCACAGATTTCATTTTTATGGCTTGAGACATTTTCTGGGCTGTAATATTTTAAAACACAGATGATATAAATAAACTAATTAAAAGATTGGCCTATTACTACAGTTAATGTAGTGCTTGTGTTAAAAATACTGGACTTATAGTACACAAGACTGAAATCTGTTTTTTCTTCAACGCTAGCACAGCAATGGCACTAGAAGTGTAAGTTTCCCTATTCTATCACATTAATGTAACCATCCATTTCTGGAGATATCACTCGTGGGTGTCAAAAAATAATTAGGTATGTCCCATCCCTCTACGCTACTGACACTGACATCGATACCAATTGTGATAATATTCTCTGACAGCAGCTATCAACTAAACATTGAACACAAACCATCGCAACTCATTTCACCAACTTAAGAGACTTCAGGATCACACCTTTATAGGGAACACGGAAACACTGACCCCATTCCCACTTACTAGTTGGTTTTTGTATTTTGAGGAGGGAAAGCAGGAAATAGTTACTTTGAGTTAACTCATTTTTATTTGTATTTAATAAAAAATGATTTTCTATTGCCTGGTAGATCAAAAGCCAATTGATCTAAACAGACAAAAATACTGTTAAGATTTAAATTAATTGCTCTTGGTTTTTTTGTCCAAGCAAAATACTGCTTATATAACATTGAAAATGGGGGGCAGTTTCTATGACTAAGATGGTGAAAAAATTTCTAGCTATGGAAGTAAAAAAATAAGACTTTTGAGGTTTATCTGTTTCACTTAATAATTAAATGTGCTTATGCCTTTGAGTATTTAACCATGATCCCATACGACATTTAAAGTAATATTTATTAATTAGATGTTCAGGATATACATACATATCATATCATTTTGCTTTCTCTCCTCCCAAGGAGCTTTTGGATGATTTTACACTAATTTTTTCTGTGGTAATATATTTTATGTGAATATTGCATTTTCATTGTAATTTGGATATTGAAACTGTAAACATGTTATAAAATGATATTATTGCTGTTATTCTGGTAAACAATAGAAGAAAATAGCTGTAAAAGATAAATAAAAGGCATGGAATCAAAACACACTCATTTTACATTGCGAGCAAGTTTTAGTTACTTGAAGATGAGAAATGAATACAAACTTTAACATACTCTAAACATATTTAATACTAAATTCAGTGGTGTAAGGGATTTATAGAATATAGTACTTTTTTACATTATTACTCTGTGAAGAGATGCACAAAAAACAATATTCCAGTACCAGATACTCTGAAAATAATTTAACATTTATTTTATTTTTGTCCTATGTTTTATTTTTATTTGTAAATCATGTAAATATGGAGAGGCAGGATTGTCCAGTGGATAAGACATTGGTCAGGCACTGAGGAAAGCTAAATTCTGTTTTCAACTCTGCTAGGGCACATCTGCATAAAGCTGAAATAAGCTATGCAAATTAAGCTATGTCAATTGCGTAGCTTAAGTCGAAATAGCTTAACTTGGTTTTTGGCACTGTCTGCACAGCAGGAAGTCTGAGAGAGCACTCTTCCTCTGGCTCCCTTACTCCTCGTAAAATGAGGGTTTCAGGAGTCAGAGTATGAACTACTCCAGCTGGACATTATTTTGACATTATGTCGAAATAGTCTGCATCTACACAACAAGCAGTTATGTTATTCCGGAATAATAACTGCTGTGTAGACATACCCCTAGTGACCAGATTTGTGATCTTTAGTAAGTCATGTCTCCTGTTTGTGCCTGTTGTACACTGTAAGCAATTTGGATAGTCTCTCAAGTCATTGTACAATACTTAGCACAACTGGGCCCCAATCTCATATGAAAACAATAACCACTACTGTAATACAAATAAATAATTTTAACACCATGTTAAAATTAATCTTTAAATAAACTGGAAACCAGTGCGAGAATGAGAACCAGACAGAACTGAATAAACCCATGTACACAGCATTCTTAGTGCATTCTACTTCAGTGGAGTTAACAATAATCCCTTTCTGTTACTACCAGCCTCCATCTAATTGCACCCATGGACCCACAGAGGGAATTACAAATGCAGTAAACTTCCGATAATCTGGCACCTTTGGGACCCAGGAGGTGCCAGATCATCAGATATGCTGGACTATTGGAAGGGGGGGGCTATGAGGGGTCTGGAGTGGGGTGGGAGGGGATGCCACCCCAGACCCTTCATAGCCCCCCCTTCCGATAGTCCGGCTCTGCTCCAGACGTCCCCGATTCAGCCGCTGCTGGTCAGTTTCAGCTGAATCGGAGATGCCTGGGGCAGAGCAGCTGTGGTGCTGCCAGGTTGGTCCCATAGCACCGCCCCTCGGCGCTGTGGAACCAACCCAGCAGCACTCCAG